TTGTTGCATGGCAGTCACCCTGTCTGCCTCTTGTGCCCTGTTGGCTAAATCCTCGGCGCGCTCTTGTTGGAGTACCTCAAATTTACCAAATATTTCGGCTGCCTCTGTGGCTGCCGTTTGCCGGTCTCCTTCAGAGTTGCGACTGATGTTTTCTATGTCAACTTCGGCCTGGATCAATCTGCGGTCCAGGTCGTCCAACCTTTGCACTAGGCTGGTCTTTAGGTCGGGCACCATTTCCACGATGGGTCGTAATGTGTCAACCGTTCCCTCAAGGGTCGCGATGCGATCCCCATAATTCACCATGGTCAGAAATGGTGGTAATTGCAATGTAATCCCTCGTCCGATGTCGAGCCTAGGCTCTGATACCAACTGTTACGCGGCGCCTTCCTGATGTTCCTTGGAAGGGCAACGTAAGGCTAAGTAACCGATGTCAGTGCGATTGTTGTCCGCCAACCGAGATCCCCTCCGTACGCTAGACTAGATTGTCAGCGCCGTACGGGAAAACCAATGTCGTGATCAATTGAAAGAGAGCAGAAAAGAGAATTGAGAATGAAAGAAAACTTGATTGCATTCAATGAAAGCTATTACAGAAAAAGAATACGGTGTCGGGGGGGAGAGACACCAGTACAGAGAATTGTTTGCTTGCTTGAAAGTTTTATTGCTTGGTCCCCCTTAATAATGCTTAAAAAAAATAAACCAAAATTACATCACTAGGCCTATAAAAGCTGAAAAATCACACTTAAAGAAAATGCAGTAAAACTACTCTATATTTACAATGAAAAGGACTTAGTCTTCTACAAAGCAGAAACAAGTCCGTTGGCAGCAACTTTNCTGCGCGCGCGGCGCTGTTGGCATCTGCCTGTGGCTGGGCGCTGGCGATGGCTATCGGTGGGGCGACAGAGGCACATGCGCGCTTGTCACTTGGAGCTACCGAGACCACGGGGCCGACCATGGCGACGGGCGTTGGGAAGTTGGCCAGGACGCCATGGGGCGCATCCAAGGGGTCATGGGGCATGGTTGAAAAATCGCCCATGACAACTCACATGTATATGTATTTTTTATCTGTATGCGTGTGTATTCTCTAAGAAAACCCCCAATTGAGTCTGCTTTGATTTGTTCTGGCATAGTAATTGTATGATGTTCTTTTGTTATTCTTCAAGTAATATTTTCTTTTTTATGAAATCTCCTCAACTATACACAAATTAAGTATACATATTATATATGAATTTTATATATATTACAATTATATAATTATATTTATTTTACAGATTCTGAACTGTTTCGCTGAATGCATCGACAATACCGTTATATTTTAGAGGTGCCTTCCTCTTATCAGTAACAATTGAAGTAACATTCTTCCTAGCGCACATCAGCATTCTTCTACAGATGACATCAAGAGGGTAAGCAACAGTCTGGCTAATGGGTCCAACAACATCACCACATCCAATTTACTGCCTACACATTGAATACAACTATTTCTTTAATGTAAAAACTTGTTTTGCATCGTCAATTGCTATTACATTTAATTCATTTTTATTCAATTTCATATACACTATTTTGGCAGTTTACAATTTAAATATCCATTGCATCATCAATTTTACCTTTATACTTAATTCTTTCTTATTCTACTTATTATATTAAGCTCTTTTGTGCATAACACAACACGTACACTAAATCTAGTAAATTTTAAAGATAAGAGGAATTATTATGTCCCCGGACAAAGACTATCTAGTTTGTACACATGATGTTTTTGTCCAAGAAAACTTGTCATAATCCACTCTACTTTCACCTCATTATCCCCTTATCCAAATTTTGTGCCTTTCACCTTGAGCTCCAGCACAGACTCACTTCAGCAGTAACCATCAAGTGACACAAGCAGTCACACTACTAAGCGGGCATTTGGACATAAATTTGATGGAAACTTTAAAAAAAAAAAAGTTAGATTGATTTTAAAAATATTTTTTGAAAGTTGAAATTGTAGTTGAACATGCATTTTACTTGAAAAAAAAATTAAATTTTGTGAGTGAAAAAAAAAATCAACATTTTGAACTCAACCACAACATAACAACAAATCCCACGTATGGGACTAGACAAAGCAGTGTATAGGCAGACCTTATCCCTATTTTATCCCTCTTTTGTGTGGATTTTGAATTCAAGATTCAAGAATGACATATTTGATCAATAACAATCACAAAGGAACAGTTTGCAAAGAAAATGCATGCCACTTTAAACATATAGACAACAGAGTGGAAACTGCACTAATCTCACATAAAAATAACAACTTAACAAGGATTAGAGATTTCCCTACTGTGAATCTTGAAAGAGCCATTAAACAAGTACACACACCCCCACACACACCACTCCACCCCACCCCCACCCTCTTCCAAACTACATGCACAACTACAACTACTACACACAACTCATGTACCAATCAAAAAGGAGAATTAACAACACTAATTTACCTAAGATTATAAAAAGCACAACAACAAAGTCCTAAAAACTCAAATAACCCCTACAATTTTTCAGCTTCCCTCAACACCATTTTGTGCTTATAGTTGTGGTTTAATTTTCCTAGGCCTACCCCTTGGCCCTCCTGTTTTTGAAACAAGAGGTGTGGGTGGTGCATTAGAAGCTGCTGTTGGCTTTGGCTTTTTAGGAATAGGTGGTGCATTAGGATCTTTTCTTGGTCTTCCTCTGCCACGTTTAGGTGGAACATCTGGACCAGGTTTAATGTAATTATTTTTGAGGAAAATTAACTCACCAGTTTGCTTCATTTTGTCTAAATAGAAAGTGAGCAACTTTGAGTGACCTTGATCTAAGTTTCCATATTTGGATTCAATGTACTTTGATATTGATGACTTGTTTGAGCCTCCTTCTTGATTTAGTGCTTCAAGGGCTTCATAAATCATCTAATAATCATAATTAAATAATTGAGTTTCAAAGATTTTTTCTTTCAAAATCAAAGAAAAAATAAACAACAACATTGAGAGGTAAAGATGTTGTCTCCGCATGAAACTAGGGTCGGGACGAAAAATAAAAACAAGTAAATATCAATAACCACGTCAGAAAAATGAACAAAGAAAAAATAGATATGTAAAAAAAAAAAGTATGGTTGGCCATCATGTGCTAAAGTAGGAACTATTGAAGCACAAAAAAGGAAAAAGGTGCTAGACCAAAGTAACTAATGTCTACTCTTGAAGCTACTACTACTACTTTTTTATTTCTTATTTGGTCTGGTGATTAATTTGCAGAATAACAATTTCAATACTAACAAGCAGAAAATTAACAATTTGAAATCTGAAATTTTGAAGAAAATTAGAAAAAAAAATGAAATTTCCCATAATTAGTGGCTTTAAAAGCCAGAATTTTTCATATTTTCCATCACATTGAGGGTGACATAAAAAGAATTATTTTCGCAAGTGCTTTCAAGTTTCAAAGCTTGAATCTTTCTTGTAACTAAGAAAAATCCATCTGAAATATGTGCAAAGGGACAAAAACTTGAGAAAAGATAGAAAAATAGAGGATGATTTGAACTAAAACTGCTGCAAAAAAGTAAAATGAGGGTTAAAAAGAACTCTTTAAAAAAACAAAAAAACAAGTACTTCCGAAGCTTGAAATTTTCTACTATAAAGACAACCCGTCTGAAATAAGTAAAAAAGAACCAAAGTTTGAGAACAGAAAGAAATTTGGAGGATAATTTGAACAAAAAATGGTGCAAAAAATGGAAATGAAAGTTAAAGAACACTCTTTTTTTCGAAAAAAACTCCAAGTACTTCCAAAGGTTGAATTTTTCATTAATAACTAAGAAAACCCACCTGGAACATGTGGGAAAAAAATCAAAATTTGAGAAAAGATAGAAATTTGGACGATAATTTGAACTCAAAATGGTGCAAAAAAGGGAAATGAAAGTTAAAAAACTCTCTTTTTTTCAAAAAATAAAATAAAATACCAAGTACTTCCAAAGCTTGAATCCTTCTACTAACCTAAGAAAACCCATCTGAAATAAATGGAAAAAAAAGATCAATTTTGAGAAAAAATAGAGCAGTAGAGGGTGATTTTGAGCTCAAAAAGGTAAAAGAAGCAAAAAACAAATTGAAAAAAGGAGAGTTGAAGCGGATGAGAAGGGCAGAAAGGGAATTAGAAGTAATGGTTTTACCTCAGGATATTCAGGGTGTGATGGTGTCTTGTTGAACATTTCAGTCTCCATTGAAACTTGCAGATACACTGTGTGTGTGTGTGTGTGAAGAAGAGAAGAGAAGGTTCTGAGAAGAACACACAAGAGAGAGGGCAGAGTCAGCCTCGGAAAATTTCGGTTTGGTTTTTTGAAGTAATGATAGTCCAAATCAAATCCAAATGAGTCGGATTGAATTGAATTTTTTAAGTTCAATTTTGAATTAATCGGTTGAATTTTTTGAATTTTCGATTTTGAGCTATAAATTGAGATATTTCTTATTTTTATCAAAATAAATATTCAAATGAAGTACTCGTATTAAATTATTTGAAAAGTTCACCATTCTCACCACAATTATCCAAACAAAGTATTCAAGTATGAAATTATTATCCAAAAAATGTAAAAAAGACATAAATATGGCCAATAAGAAGTTCTAATAGTAAAATAATGTCCAAATAGAAAGTATTGTAATACTAACTTAATACTCATTTATATTGAATATATGATATAATATCTAATGGATAGGGTATTGAACTTATTACTATTTGCATATGGATAATGGACTAGATATAAAGTATAAAAAAATTGAATTTTTGGATATCCAAAAATCAGAAGTACCAAATCCAATATTCAATTGGAAATCCAAAAAATTTAAAATTAAATCCAAAATCCAATATGTAATCCGAAAATTCAAACCAAAAATCTAAAATATTCGAACTTCGGTTTGGATTTCGGGTTTGCCCAAACTATGTACACCCCTAGTAACAAAAACGCTAAGCATGCTTAATCCATAAGTTTTTGAAGTTTTAAAAAAAAAATTAAATATGTGTTTATTTATAAATTTAATCTAGCTTTTGAGAGATTTTGAAACCAAACCTTCAAATTTCAAACATAGCTTAACATCTTTTTTGGACCAATCATGATTATTTAAGACTTTTTAACCTGTTAAAATTTGCCCAAAAATTCACGTTCAAATATATTTTTAATTTTTCAAATAAAACTTCACCAAAATTAATATTTTCAAAAAATATTTGGAAATCTATGAACTCAATTACTCATCAGTTCTGAGTCTTCTGACTCATCAAACCTCAGGTTGGGTTAGTTGGGAGTCAAGAAACAGGTAAAAATTTCACGGGACAGAGAAAGATTTTACAAATAAGTTAAAATTAGTTCTTGATTTTAGTAAAGCAATCTTTACATAGTTGATAGTACTAGTATAATTATTCATCACATAGTAATTTATATATTATTATTAGCCAACTACACATAACAAACCACATAATATAATTCATAAAACTAATACGTTAAACAAACGATCTCTTAATTTCTTTTTTATTCAAGTTATGTTCATGTTTACATTTAATTTTCGTTTAGATTTTAGATTTTTTTTACATATATATTTCTTTTTCTTAGTTAAATTATATTGGGCCTTAATTTAGGGTTGTTCAAAATCGAACCGAAATCGTTAACCTAATCAAACTGATGGCTTATTGACTTGCTGGTATCGGATTATCGGGGTAATGAATGGTAAACGGATTGAGATTTTATAATTAATGGCTTAACGGTTTGGGGCGAATTACTCAATTTTCTTATCGGGTAAACCGTTAACCCGTTAAGAATTTTTATATTTATACTTTTACCCCTATGTATATAAAGTACTATTGAAATCCTAAATAGCTAAATCCCTAACTTCTAGGGTTAGCTCATATTATAGCTTAGGCGGATCTATAGTAAGATGGATGAAGCTAGTTTTCTTCATGTTTAGGATGCTCATCTCGATTTTGTACAGTGCAATGAACTGGAACTATGTTCTTTGCATAGATTAGCTCGTATATGTTATGTCTTCCTTATCAGTAGTTCTTGTATATACTTGATTGTTCAATTTTTTTATTTGATTTAGCCGATAAATCGTCCGATAATCATCAATCTGATACCAATCCGCCCGTTATCTTATTGGATGGCCAACATATTACTATATTTATACTCCGATAACCGTTAAACCAAATAATTAAGCGTAATTATCCGCTCGATAAGCACCCATACCTTAGTTGCTAGGTTAGGGGCCGAAATCTGGGGAAGTACACAAATATCCATTTTTAGGACTGCTATTTAGGTTTAGCCAGTACTTATTTTGTCCTGAAAATTTAAATTAAAAATCTTAACTTCAGGACCTTGTGTCCTGAAAAATTGAACTGAAAAACTAAAATTCATGACACACTAGCTAATTTATAAATAGCAGCCCTCTAGAATGGCTACCTAGTCTCATTTCTACCCGAAATATGTGAGTAACTCTACGAGTTTGGGCCTTGTTATTCATCCCATGGTTTCTATCCCCGAAACGTGGAAATGACATCAGGTAGCCACTTTTAAGCATGATGTTTTAAGGGGAAGTTACATCATATACCCATTTGTAGAACTCACTTTCATAGTATACCTAAGTTTTAAAATTACATCATATATCCCAAAAATATTACACGCTATACCTCCCTATATTCTAAAACATATCACGATATTCTACTTTGGAATACAATCCAAACCTAACTTACTATAATATTCTAATTTAGAATACAATATTCTAACTAAACAAACTATAATATTTTAATTTGGAATATAATATTCAAACTAATGATACCACAATATTCTAATTGAAAATCCAGACATAGCTTACTATAATATTCTAATGAAGAATACAATATCCAAACTAAACATACCATAATATTCTAATGAAGAATACAATATCCAAACTAAACATACCATAATATTCTAATAAAACATACTACACTATTCTAATTTGGAATACAATATTCAAACCAAATATATTATAATATTTTAATTTGGAATACAATATTACAATATAGCTTACCATAATATTCTAATGAAGAATACAATATCCAAACTAAACATACCATAATATTCTAATAAAACATACTATAATATTCTAATTTGGAATACAATATTCAAACCAAATATATTATAATATTTTAATTTGGAATACAGTATTTGAACCAAACATACTACAATATTTTAATTTGGAATATAATATCCAAAGCAAATATTCCATAATTTTTCTAAACATGCTACATTATTCTAATGAAGAATACAATATCCAAACTAAACATACCATAATATTCTAATAAAACATACTACATTATTCTAATTTGGAATACAATATTCAAACCAAATATATTATAATATTTTAATTTGGAATACAGTATCTGAACAATACATACTACAATATTTTAATTTGGAATATAGTATCCAAAGCAAATATGCCATATTTCTTCTAAACATGCTATAGTATTCTAATTTGGAATACAATATTCAAACCAAATATATTATAATATTTTAATTTGGAATATAGTATCCAAAGCAAATATGCCATATTTCTTCTAAACATGCTATAGTATTCTAATTTGGAATGCAATTCCAAATTAAATATATCACAATATTCTAATTTGGAATATACACTATTGTATTTTAGAATAAAGTAGGTATACATGGTAAAATAATTTTATAAAGTAGGTATATAAAGTAAAATAAATATTTTAATTGTATATGGTGTTAACTGATATTTTCAACGGGCATATCACGTAGATTCCCCATGTTTAAAATATATTTACAGTTTGCAATGCATTTAAAAATTAGTCAATTCGTTCAAACTTCAAGACACGACGTCTTGAAATTTAAAGCTCAAAGTTCAAATTTCGGGACATCGTATCCTAAAGTTCGAATATTGTGTCCAAAAATTAGAATTTATGTCCTGAAACTTAAATTAACAGTTTAAAATTTCAAGATACTTAGTCCTTGAATTTCATATTATCACTTTAGAAAATCAGGACACTTAGTCCTCAATTTTAAATTAGTACAATCAAAAACTTAGGATACTAAGTCCTGAATTCCAAATTATCAGCTCAAAAATTTAGGATACAATAATTCAGGATACTTAGTCCTGAAGTCTAGGCAAATTAGCTAATCTTTAAATATATTGTAAATTATGAATATATTTTAAATAGCATGCTTAAAAGTTAATGCACTTCGCCCCCAAAATGCGGTTTGTTTTGGGCCTCAGTTTTTTCCGACCGTCTGGATTACATCCATTTCTAGGTAATATATGTACATTTCAATGAATTTCTTAATAAAAGTTCGGTCGAATCCGTATTTGGACTTCTATGGCCACCCCTAGTGGGATTTCTTTACCTTTAATCAGAGATTTCGAGTTCGAGTTTTGACAATAAAAAAACTTCATAATAGAGAATATTTAACCTTTTAATGAGCCTACCCATGCAAATCTGAATTAATCGATCGTCACTCTCAATAAATCAATAACAACACCCACAACCACTTTTAACTTTTTTTTTTGTTGATAAACAAGCACATCTAACTTATCAAATGTTCGGCACAACAGGCCTCTTGAAACTGATCAATAATTTTGGAAAACCTCATAATTTTTAATCATTTCTTTATGTTATCCAAACAACCTTTTTCTTCACTTTGGAAAACTTTTACAAGAAAAAGAATAACTATAATACATTTAGCTATACAAATGAAAAAAGTGAAGGAGTCCACTATGTAGAATTTTGTCACAAATGACCGACCATATAGTTGTTGGGCATCATATGATCTTGAAAAAATTTGTATACCTCATCTTTATTATAGCTTCAATTTTGCACTTTTTCGTACCTCCGAAGTGGGTAGTCAGTTGCTTTTTGTCTGTTTCTGGAAATGAATCATATAATAAGTTAATGATCCATGAAACAACCTTTTTCTTTTAAAAGAAATTATATTAAATGGGGAATTAAAAAGTTATAGAATACAATCAAATATATATCTCTATAACAATTTTTGTGTATTATAATTAAGTATTATTACTATTATAGAAAATAAGTATAACATCAAAAATTAATTCCAAAGAATATTTAATCGTTATAGTGAAATGATATTATAAAATATGATTGTTATAAAGAAATCTTACTATACAAATTTATAAAAAAATAAGTCTCACTTTTTATTATGAATCCTTCCCGTTTCCTATTATGAACTTAAATTTCTTTCTTTGTTTAACAATTCGATATTCGTTATTCATTAGACTGATTCTAATTCAAATTCGTGTAAGGTAACAAATTCGTATCAAGTAATCCATTGAAAGGACTCTACCGAGAATCTATTTTTTGATTTTGAAACTTTATATTAGGGTAAAAGAATCTCAACTATCTCATAATATCTTCAATAATTAACACTTAAATTTCAATAATATTGTCTTTGACTGCGTTTTTACATCTTGAAGGAAGGACCATTCGTCTAATATAGGTAGAGTATAATTCTAGTCTAGCTAGTCTACTGTATAATTCTGACACTATATATCAAATTATTTCAAAAAAACTTAGAGGTAGAGTTAGAACTTTGGCATAGAGGGACGAGCTGTATGGGGAAAAGTTTTGGTGAAAAAGGGTTAAAAATTAGCAATATATATATATATNTTGTATTTAACAGCTTTTGTTAATTGACAACTTTACATTTATTTTGATTAAGTTGTGATTCTTCCATGCACCATAATGAGTAAATTATAATTCAGCCTTTGCTTTTGGTTCTCTTCTCCTTTTGCTTTAAATTTAGATAGGGACGAACCTTTACCTATACACCAAGCAAGCCTCAACAAACAATCTTCTTCTTCTTCTTCTTCTTCTTTCTTTTAATTTTTATTCTTCAAAGCAAATTCAACAAGCAAGATTGAAAGTTAACTCTCATTCTACCCAGACACAGATTCAGAGATTTAATGAGTTCGATCTCTAAGATATTTAGCAATGAACCAATTGTACTTTTAAAGTTAAGAACTCTGATATACTATTTAATGCAAATTTAATCGATTTTTAAATTTATGTCCTACGTTAAAAATACCAGGTCCGAATAACACCTGATGATGATTCGCTATATCTACCTGACATGGGCGTCTCAATAAAATTGGTGCCGTAAAAACCAAACCTTGTTCAGAGGCCTTAAAGTTAATTAGTTAACCCCTGATATAGACTATAGAGTTAAAAAGTTCACATTTGATATGCGTAAAAACAGTAAAAAGAGAACATATTTATGTCATGACGACCTTGCTCTTGAATATCGAAGCATTATTTGTCTTTAATATAAGCAAAACATCTTAGTTATAACATCAAAGACCAAAGTTATTAGCTTTCCCAAAATTTACTACTCCTCATTTAGTGGATTAATCTCTATTAATAACAAGACTGTGAAAATCAAATGGTGCAGGTGTAGGAAATTCAAAGTATGAGCATGATTTTTATGAGTTGGCATTTATGAAAGTGCTAAAAGTCTTTAGTTATTTTTAGACCTAAGCTAAGTTCTCACAATGCTAGCTAGCTAGGAGAAGCATTATCCTTTTTCACTATAACTTCTCTTGATTTAAGGTGTAAATAAAAATAACTTCTCTTGATTTAAAGTGTAAATATTTTTTACTGTCGAGTCACCTAAATAATAACTACGAATTATATGTTATCGTCTATTAAAAGAGGAATAAGTTTGTAACCTAAAAAAGAAAAACTATATGCTTCAACAAGTTTGAACACACGATAATATAAATTTTTTGATAGCGTTAAGTATGTACAAGTTAAATCTTTTTACAATTTAGTCCAATATGCTCAATATCCTAAACATATAGGTGTTAACTAACTGTTTTCAAACTTTAGACTAACCACCCGAAACAACTTACTACATTTTTGACAAATGACAAAATTAAAGTACCAACTGCATTATTTATAAGCAGAACTGATAGCAAGAAATCAGCTACAATTACCGAAGTCCGAATACCTCTATTTGGGAACTAATAATGGTTAGATTACCACAGTAAGGTACAAACATTGAAGCACATGGTGCAAAACTTTCAAACCATATTTAACTAGGAAAGGAGAATGTCGCCTCTGAGTAAAAATTCACGCGCATTCAGTGTTTATACCAAACCAAAATAATTTTATCATAGTTAAATAATAATGAGGTAAAAATATATATTATCATGGTTAAATAATAATGAGGTAAAAATATATATTAATTAACTACAGTTAGGTGATAAAAGAATATGCAAAAGACACATGTCATGTTAGTATTAATTTAGCAAGATTGGGGTCTTCCCTTCTCAGATTACAGAAAATTTTAAAGATGCGAAGAATTTGGTAATTACCATCTTAACTTTAAGTAATATAATTAATGATTCTTATTCAAAGTTCAAATCCCTAGTAAATGCTTAGCTCTATAAATACAAGAGAGAGGGCATTGTTGAAAGCATATGTCTAGTACTGTTTGAAAGAAAAAAATGAATTGAAACTTTACTTCTTATAAATAACCTTGTAACGCTTTTTCCTCCTTTGAATTCACACCTTAAAAAACCATAAAACATTTGCTTCTTGTCTCTGCAGAGGTATGCATATTTTCTTCTTTAAGTTCTTCTTGTTTTATCTTGGCGTTTATATTCTTCTATATGCCTTCAAGAATAAATGGCAATGGTAAAAAAAAAATGAATTTAAGTTATATATACTGACAGTATAATTATTTTTCGCACTATTAGAGTATTTTAACTTGTGATACCAAGTTAGTTACCATTTGTATATATTATTAATACTTATCAAGAGATTTATCTGTAATTACATAATAAGTAATCTGATTACGTAAATGCAAAGAATATTAAACTCTAAGAAACATTCAAAAGATTATACTTCAAAGTAAGCTATATATATATATATATATGACCTACTAAGGTGTCTTTGCAGGGAGAGTGAAAACTGCAAAAGAGTTGGAAAAATGAAGAAAGTTGGGAGGAATAGAGAATGGAGGTCTGTTCTTGGATTGTTGGGCATTTTACTTCAGCTATTCTTGCTAATTGAATGTGCAGCAACAAGGTATAATTCAGTTCTTTATCTTTCTTTTGCTTTTAGTTTAAATTTTTATCTCCACTATCAGCAAAATATATAATACTATGGTTGTCTTGTTATCTTCTCTGTTCTGTCAACTTATGCTTTCTTAGTTGCTTAACATATTATAGGAAATGGAATTCTTGAATTTTGTTTGAGATGATGAATGAGAATATAGAGAACTGGAACTTTTATTTTTTTGTTTGGTTTGTTGCTTTTTGTCTGCTAGTTGGTTTTCAGGTAGTGCATCTTGTTTTTCCTTTTGGTTTAACTTTTGTTAATGTTAAACCCATACCCCGACTAATTCAGATTCGCACCATCTACTAAAAAAATTAAAATATTCTTATGAAATTCCAGTACTTTAACCCAAGAAATCCAATTAAGGTGAAGATATCTCAACAATTCCAAAATATACTTAGTGGTACCTATTGAACTTATAGTTGAAGGGTCATGGGAAGGACAATGTTCACATATCTTTGCTTTTGGCTTTCTGTTTTCTTGTTCTTGTTTCTTTTTATCTTTCCTTTTTTTAACAAACTTAAAAAAGGAGTTTTTATAAACTATTTAACCACATAATGAGTGAGATGGCAAACTAGCTATATAAAAAATGAGAAGTGAAAAAAGAAAGAAAAAAGAGGGTTTGATCCAAAATATTTTTCCTCTCCAACCAATTTCTCCCCACATATTCGTTTTGGAGCTCCAATAATCCAGACTCTGCGCCACGAAATCTCACTTTGGAGAAAAAAAACTCTTTACTAAAGGCGACTCAATTCATATAGCATAAATCAATCTAAAACCTCCGATTAAAAATGACGGCATTCTCACAACAAACCGTTAGTGGTCTCCAACCAGTTACCATTTACATGTGCACCTCTCACTTTAGGACATTCTAAGTTCAAGGCACACAAGTTGTCTTTTGTTTTGTTTTTCTTCTTTTTCCCCCTTTTAGTACCGTCATTGATGGGCGCATGACTTAGTTTTCTTCTGCTGAGGGAAAGATATGTCTTTCTTTTCGAAATAATGTTAGTGCTATATGCTATTTTATTCCTAAGTGCTTAGTCAATAATGCTTTTTAGCTTTAAAGTGATTATGCTCTACCATAATTAACCTATTAATATATGGGTCCCCTACCTTTTTCCAAGAAAAGAACATATAGAAAAACAAACAAAAATGTTTAGTGGTTCAATATTAAGAGTCGAGTAGTTGGGAGTTATCGGAGGGTGGGAGGCGGTGGGAGGGAGGGAGCCGAGAGTCTATCAGAAACAACTTCTTTACCCCAACCTCTAGGGTAGGGCTAAGATCTGCGTACACTCTACCCTCCCCATACTCCATTAATGAGATTATATTGAGTTGTTGTTGTTGATATTAGGAGTCTAAGCGTCAAATGTTTAGTGATTTTTAAAAAGTTACTCAAGTTGTTAGGAGAGATAGACTAATAGCATATTTGGCCAAATTTCTCCAAGTTCAAAATTAAAAAAAAAGTGTTTTTTTTCCTTCAAATTTGAAGTATTTAGCCAAACTTTTAGGAGAAAAAAAAGTGTTTCGGAGGAGAAAACAGAAAAAAATAGTTTCTTCCCATAAGCACTTTTGAGAAAAATACACTTAGAAATACTTTTTAAAAATTTGGCCAAACACTAATTGCTGCTTAGACGTACTTTTTAATTAATTAGCCAAACACAAACTGTTTCTCGCCAAAAGCACTTTTGAAAAAAAATACTTCTGAAAATACGCTGATTTTTCAAGCTTGGCCAAGTGGACTATAAAGTTGCAGTATTAATGTGGTAACATCTCTATTTGTGGTTAAACTTTTAGGGTAAATTAAAATTAAGTTATCAAAACTCTTATCACCATGGGTAGATTTATAGCCCAAATCAAGGGTACGTGAACTGATTATCTCTCTGTCAAACTAGTTATTTTATGTATGTATTTTCTAGAAATAGTCTAATATTATTATTTATTAGCACCCGGTGCACTTGATTGAATATTGAGTTATTTATCCAAGGAAACATGGATCAATTCTCACTTAATACTTTTTTTAAAATACATTTTTAGCGGTATACTCATGTTTACGAAATTCTAGATTCGCCTCTGCTTATTACATAATTATTTTTTGGGTTTCCTGTATTTGTTTTTCAGGAGAATTACCAAGAAGAACAGCCAATTGGACTTGCAATCCTTATACCCTCCAGTACAATTACATAAACTGAATAATCATGTAATAACCTCTATAATAATTCTTACAACCTTATTCTACTGTTTTATTTCTTCACATTACTCAAATAATTTAAATGATCATAGAGCTTTTAATTAGTAGTAAATGCATTTACTTGTAAATTAATTCGAATATTTATTTTCCCATTCGCAGGTGTTGGTGGATAATGGCCTGTTCAACATCACATTTTCTGTTCCTGGGGGAATGGTTATTGCTATACAATACAATGGCATTGATAATTTATTGGAAAATGAAAATAAACTAAACAATAGAGGGTATGTTAAGTCTTCTAAGCCGTCTATATATTTGCTCCTTTTTAGGTATTCACATAATGTTGAAATAATGATACAAAAAATTATAGGTATTGGGATATTGTTTGGAATAAAGCAGAAAAACCAGGAATCATCTATGACAAGTAAGTTTGTTTTTTTTCCTTTCTGAAGTTCTAATTTTTGGATTTTTTTATTAAAAAAAATTAGACTCATTTATTGAATATGAGAAACTGAAGTAAAAATTCTACGGGCTAGTCACTTTTCAGACCCGTTTTTTTTTATTTTATATAATAGCTAGTGTTTGGTTGAAAAATAGTCATTTTAATGATGAAATAACATGACATTGTCAAGAATTTCAAATTCAAACAAGTGAAAAAATTCATAATACTGTTCCGATTTTTGAAATTCATGATAGTGTCGTGGATTTCGAACTTAAAAAAATTAAAATTCCATGGCAATGTCCTGAATTTCGTCTAGCATACTATCACGGAGTCTCATTTTTCAAGTTCAAAATCTATTATATTATCATGAATTCTCAAAATTGGTTATTACTTGAATAACTTTTGAATATGTGGCTATTTTTTAATTAAAATACGAAAAATGGATATTTTTTAACTTTACTCGAAAGTGAAGAGAATTTCAAAATTTATGATTGTAGACTTGAAGGAACAAACTTTGAGGTTATACTGCAAGATGAAAATCAAGTAGAGATTTCATTCACAAGGACATGGAAATCTTTAAATTCCTCAAGTCTTTCAATGAACGTTGACAAAAGGTGCAGTGTAAGTCTTTTAATCTTTGCCATAAATATTAATTACCATTAATTTTAACCGTTTAGAGTCTTATTTACTCACATTTTAAATGCCAAATATTGGATGATCACTGAAAGTGTATTCGGTATGATACAAAAAAAATTTGATGAATTTACATTTTTGTGTTTGGTCACGTTACATTAACCAAATCATATCATCTATAGGCATTTTGCTCTACTAGTAACTCAATTTTTATTACAGATCACTTGATTCGAATAATATCCAGATTGTTGTCAACCTTTTAAATTTCATATATTACGTAATTTTATATCTAACCATATGCTAGAAAATGATTTCTCAAAATAATAGCAGATAACATATTTTTGCGGAAAGCAATTTCCTGCATTTGAAATGCCAAAATCAAGAAAGATTATGTGAAATTAATGTTTTTCCTTCACTATTATTTTGTTTAATTCTTGTAGGTTTATAATTCTCCGGGGTAATAGTGGCTTTTACTCCTATGCAATTTTGGAACGCTTGGAAGGATGGCCAGACATAGATGTCTACCAAGGAAGAATGGCTTTCAAGCTTAATGAAAAATTGTATGTAACAAGTAAAAAAATAAAAGATAAAAAATTATAT